ATATATATATTTTTTTTTTTTTTTTTTTGCTGCAAGAATGCACAGTAGATCCAGTCACGCAGAGAAAAAAAAAAATCAAAGGTCACAATTCCTCTTATTACTGACTCCCAGCACAAAGTGACAGCGACACAGGAGATTTGAGGAAACACTAAAGCTGACTGCACAATAAAGATCATGTTCATGCTCCACCCAACCAGCTGCCTGCGCCTGACATGGAGCTCTAACCTCAGCATCTGCAGCTAATCCCGGGAGCACGTCAGCACGCTTCACTCCCCGCAAACACGAATGGAAAATTAGGAAGGTGAGGTCAATGTAAATGAATCCTCACTTCAGGCAAAAACATAAGCGCAAGAGAAATGCAGAATAAGGAGTCGATATCCGGCCCCGTCATTGATTCTCATTTGCTTTGTGCTTCCTCGTCACAGCTAAATCAAACAAAGGTCTCACGCTGCTGGTGCCTGACATGTGGCAGGGCAAAAGACTGCAGAGATCAATGTCCTGCTGCAGAACATCTAGTCCCTCATCGCCTATCACACCACTGCTAGTCCAGAGAAGGTCAAGCCCCAGCGAGGTCTCATGTCACCGATGGAAAGATGACAGCTGCCAATGAAAGAGCAACTGTTTGCCAAGAAGAACCCTGAGGCTTCATTTCAAAGAAAGGACTCCTCACGTCCCCTGGATTTGAATGTAATAACAAAGTTTTTAGAGAAAAAAAAACCCACACGGCATCTTTGATCTTTTTTTTTCCTCTTCTTCCTCTTTTTTAATCAGAACCTTCTTAAATAATTTAACTGTACATGTCATTTAACATGGGACAAACCCAAGCAAATGTTAGAGCCACTGAGTCCTGTTACCTTTGTTACTCTGGAAAAAGATACCCTTTAATCACATACAGTGCAAAGCTCCCAACCTCTACGGTTCATTATTAGGCCAGAGTAAAAGCATAGTCAACTCCATCAACCTAGTTATAAAAGGGAAAAGTATAAAACATAGAATTTTCATTATTTTGTGTACATATTTGCAACAGTATAAGAAAAAAACAAACAAAAACAAAACCTTAGGAAAAAAAAATCTAACAGAGATGGAATTTGATTTGAAAATCAGACCTGAGCATTCTGTAGCACTTCAGGCCATCATTAAAGTTTTATTCAATGTTATGAAGACTGTTAGGATTTAAAAGTAAAAATAAAACATTTTGCAGCATTATCACTTGCTATCCTTGCAGACCCAATGTGGGATTCAAGGAATGTGTATTCAAGGCTGCTGAGAGGCCAATAGCTACCTGATGAAGAATCCTTTTTGTGCCTGTTTTGTTTGTTTCAGACACAAGTGTCCTTGTCTGAACATTCCTAAGTGTTGTTTGGCCACCTTCCCTTACACGGTGTGCAAAACTGTTTTTATTCATCGTGATCAGTTGCAAAGAGAAATGCAAACGTCACCCAAAAATCCACAAGTGTCGAAACAGATTTTTTTCCCCCTACAACCCTCACCAAACTACACCTTTAATTTTAGTCACAGGAAAAACAAGCTGCTCAGAACCCAAAATAACCAACACCATCTACCTCCCCGTGTGTCATAGACTTCAAGATGAATACCTGAACCTCGTCCTACTGCTGCCTGAGCGCCTGTCTGAGAATCTTTGGCCTTGTGCAGTTTTTTTTTTCTTTTTTCTTCCTCCGATCCATTCTGCTAGCAGCTCCGGAGAACTTCTTTTCAGAGACATTTCTCCGGGTCATAGATGGAGCTGGAAGCATCTCATTGCACTCTGGAAGGTTGACCACCAGCATCTCCGCGAGCGCACATTACTTATGCACAGACAGTAGCAGGTTAATCTGTAAGACAAGCGTGAAATGTGATGAGAGCACTCTCGTCCACAGCTAAATTAAACAATGTCTCAACAGAATTTGATATCAGCCGTTTCGCAACTGGATGCAGCAACATTAAACCACATCTGGTGACTAAGTCTGTATGTGTAGTATAATAATGTACCTGCTCCATGGACGGACATGCAATGATTTGAAGGTCTTCTCCACTGTACTCCTCCTGAAGCAAGGTCAGCAGTCTTTGGAACACCTGCTGGATGTTATTCTGTGGGAAAAGTCGTCCTGTTACTGAGTGCCACAGAGAAATGAAGACAGTAGTACATGTCCTACCACTTTATGTCCCTTCTCTTTCTGGTTTCTATGTCAACAGCACAAGTTTGTTTTTCTCTAAGGCAGCTTCACCTGGCTGACACTTTGATCAACAGTAAAGAGAGAAAAAAAATTATTATTCTATACTTAGTTAAGTTAACTTACAACAAACAATGTGATTATAAATCCTTATATACATGCAGTTAGTATAAGTACACAACCATTACAGAGCCATCGTTGGCTTTACTTGAGTTCCAAACCAAACACTGATCTATTTTTCTACTGTTCCTTGAATTTCGGACACGAGTTGAACCAGAAACCAGTTTAGTACTCGATAAATCTATCGATCTTCTCTACATTTTTACACACATTCTCCTTTTCTTCAATTTTCTCTTCCATAAAAATGTTGGCTGACATCCAGTGAGTAAACTACTTCTGATCAGGATATAGGGAATCCCAGGTGGAGGAAAAGAAAAGCCAACTTTACTTTTTATATATACTGTGTGTGTGTGTGTGTGTGTGTGTGTATATATATATATATAAACACAAACTGTAAGTTTCATGTATATCTGGCTTACTTTGCTTTACATTATCTTGTTTCTTCAATTTTGTGAAAGTACATGTGAACAAAATGTTCTGCTTTTGCAGCATATAGGGCTTCAATAAGTGGTTTTCACTGATTTGAGTGTTTACTCTGGCAATTTCTATAGCGTCAAGGTTATGGTCTAGTAATATTTGCTTACTTTCACCGCCGCTAATAGAAGAAAATAATTTATGTAGACCAGTGTACTACTGGAGAAATATACATATATATGCATATACACATATATGAATATACACATATATGTGTATGTATGTATGTATGTATATATATACTGTGTTTTCAAGTGCTACTGTATATTACAATATAACATTATATGGGAAGAATCTGTGAATAGTTTTTGAAACTGCCATCTTTGAAAAATACAACAATACAACAATTCTCTTTCATTGTTTCTCTCTCTCTCTATATATATATATATATATGTGTATATATATATATTATATATTTCTCAAGACATTTCTGGAGACTTAGACACCTCATTATTTATCTCCAAGGTCGTTCGGTACAGAGATTAACTCTGAGGAATAGAAGTGGGCTTGAAAGATTTCTGATGCTCTGTATGGTTTTTCTTAACAGCTCAGTATAATAGAGCCGTAGTTATACGAGTTAAGCTCTGCTGAGATTAATGTGTGGATGCCCTCTAATTTAGTAATTAACAAATTAATTGAGTTATTTAACAACTTAATGACTGGACCCACTATCACATAATGAAAATGCGTTTGTACAATATAATTAAAAAAAAAAATCCCACAGTAAAATACAGATTACACCCAGGGATTTTCCGCCACCCACCCGAACAGGCTTGAAAAGGATGAACTCTGTGTCTCTATTGGCTAAGTACAAGGACATGCTCTGTAAAGTGCTTGGCAGCTTGCTCTTCATCACACGGTAGGTAGCCATCACTATATCGTTGATCTTTGCTGAAAAGAGAGAGGGGGGAAAAAGTACTGAATTAAAAAAAAAGGAAGAAGAAAAAAAAGACCAAGCCTGGAGCATGGACTATACCAGTTTTGATGAATTACACCATGAAGCGCAGTGCATCTTGAGACAAATCTTACCTGGCTGTGCCCAAGGTTGCTGAGATAAACTGTACGTGGGACCGCCTTGGACAGCCATAGTTTTAAGAGCTGTAACCTGAATGCAGCAGAGACCATCAAAGTAAAGTGTCAAAATTTGAAAAGATTTAATTTGCAGAATGATCAATACGGAATAGCAAGTACAGCTGGCTGCACTGCCACTTTCAGACAGTTCAATTAAGCTGTGAATTACAGGAATAGTAGTGGCAACCTACGAAAAACTGAGTGTGAGTGGTGGAAATAAAGACAGGCATAAAAGAACAGCTTCACATAAACTGTTGTAAACATAAACTGTCTGAGGACACTGCAGTGTTTGGCTACGTAGGTTCAGCTGTGGCTGCGGCCGCGGCCGACCACTACTTAGTTATTGCCTCCACTGTGATAGTCTACTTGTTACTGTTATTGTACACTAAATATTGAGTGTCTCAATCTGCTGGGCACAATCTGTTTATCACAAACAATGTCTGAGGTTTTTATACCCCACAGGTTTAAGTGCTTAACTCATTGGCCATCTCTGCTGAAGTCTGCTTCATTTTGGTGATGGCGCTCTGGGCCATGCCCAGCTCCGTGGCAAACAAACAAAATGAACTGTGACAGGATCACATTTTTAAAAGAATTATACATAGTAATGATGCCATGCAAAGTCATGGTTATAAACATTGAGCCTCACGCCTCTTCAAAATGAAACTGACTTCAACAAATGGGTAATTTCACATTTTATTTTAATTACTTCATATCTACCTACAAATGGTTATTAAATTAAATTAAATTCCTCTCATTATTTCTTAAAATATCATCCATGTTGTTTGCTCTTAACATCCAAACACATCATAGCATACAGCTGGAGTCACTAATATTAGTTTGATGTAGCCTGTGTGGGTGGGGTTGAGGAGATGCAGGGACAACCTGGCCATAGAGTCTTCACAAAAACACTGCACAGTACATCTACATCGTGACAAAATACACACATTTTGGCCAGTTCTGTCACTTGTTATAACCCAGACCTCCATTAACCAGTTTATCCTCTTAATGTGTCTTTTGTTAGAATTTACCTTAGTGAGGAACTCTTCAAGGTTGCCCACAAACATCTGAGTCTGCTGCTGGATGAACTGCTCACAGCTGAACTTCAGGTGTCTGTCCACGTCCTTCTTAGAGTCAATGTAGTGCTCCTTTATCTCTGGTGTTCCCTGGGGACCACAGACAAAAGGGCTTTACTGATTCAAATTGTGCAAAGTGACTGGCATGTTTTTATTTATTTTTTTAAATAAGGGGGAAAAGACAAAACTAGAATCTACCTCCAAAAGGAATTCATAAATAAGGGGGAAAAGACTAGAATCTACCTCCAAAAGGAATTCAAGGATGGCATTGTGGCTGTTAAGTCGGAAGAGTTTGGGAACAGCCTTAGGGTTGAGGATTTTGAATGCAGCATCTGGAGACAAAGCAAAAGGAAATCAATCTGGGTTGATGTAGAATTACAGTGCCCTCTAGTGCCACAAATCTACCATGTCCTTGACAGAGGCGGTGACAGCAGTGAATCAGCCCCGTCAGCCATTGGTTAATGTACAATACAGCATTGGATTAGACTGTAATTTCCACATTAATTGTTGGTGCTGGTGCATGTGATGGGCACAAGTTGCTTAATGAGCATGAGAATGTAATGACTGGCTTTATGAAGCCGAACACCAATTTCCCCTCCACCTTTAATTATCTTACCTCGCGTTTTCTTCAGGTCCAGTGAGATTTCCTTGATGGCAAAATCGGTGTGAAATGGGGCAATCTGTTCACGCATTATCAGCAGGTGCTTGATCAGGAAAAGTTGTCCATCTATTTGTGTCTGCACAAAGTGATAGCACAACAGTTAAGTCGGTAATAGAGCGTGCCAAAGGGGCAACCGCAGGCTTATGAAGCAACAGAAATCCTAAAATGCACAAGCTCAGAACATAGAAGGCATCAGGCTGGAATTATTGACTCAGTGAACATGCATGTGTTACTGTAAACAAAAAGGCAGCAGCAGCATTGGTTTATGTATAAAAAAATAATAAATAAAAGACAAATCTCAGACTGATGCTTCAACAATTACTACTGTTCCAATGATATGTGACAGATAGCAGAGAAATTAGGAGCAATTCTGGAGAAGAATGAAATTAATAAATAAAATTTGGTCTGTTGAGTAATCCATAGGGCATAAAAAAGCTATTAGAATTAATCGTAAATGACATCCCAGCTGTTTCACTTAGGGCTCCTGAGGCCTGAGGAAATTTCAGTAAAAGATAAAACATTTTGTCTCAGATAAGTGATCATACTTACTACATAAAAGGAGCTACTAAACCCAACCCTGAATAAATAGACACTTTTCTCTTAACTCTTTGTGCCAACCTTGTTTTTAAGGATGATATCAGAGGCCTTAAGGAGGGACTGGATGCACGCTGATAAGGCTTCTTGAGATAAACCCTGGAAGACTGCTCTCTGGAAAAAGACCAAGTCACAGTGAGAGACAGAAAAAGAGAGAGAGGGAGGGAGAGAGACAAGTGTTGCAGAAGTGGGTAACCTACTTTTCTAACACCCTCACCCTGCACTTTTTAACGACAGAATGGTGTAAATTACTTGGCAGAATCAGAATCAGACTCACATCGATACATCTGTAGAGCTTAGACAGACAAACCAGAGTTCGTCTCACAGTAGGGTACCACATGCCGTGGAGATCAGCAGGGGAAACGGATGTCTGCGAGCGTGAGGTTTCCACATTTGCAGCATTTGCTGTACAATATAGAAGAAAGAAAAGCCATCAGGCGAGTGACAACAACTTCAAATACGACAAAAAATCACGTGTCATAATGTGGAAACGGACCAGCGTTACTGTCTCTTCTGCCATCAGGATCTTCAAGCTGTACTTCAGAGAACGACGATTCCTGCGACACCTGCTTCATCTGCTCCTCCTTTATACTCTGAGCAATCCTCTGTTGTCAGAGACGAGTTAGTAAATAAACAAAAAGAGTTTACGATAGAAGTCACATTTTCATAATAACTATAACAGAAGGCCCATGGGTAAATTAATTTATCATAAATTAGAAAAATCAATCTTCCAAATTGCACCGACACCACAGGTGAATAAACTGAATTTATAAATTAAAAATGTAGCATATAAAAATGTTAAATACATTTGCATTTATATTGGCAGTTAATATAAAATAACCCATGAAATATGGAAAAAAAGACATTTCAATTTACCTCCGAACTGTTAATGAAACTTTACTCGCTAAATGTTTTAAAGTAACATTTTTGTCTTTTGGGTTAGCAGTGTCATGGGAAATGTGTTTAACAAGCACAGAAAATGATGGTAGAAAACAGAACAATTAAAATTCAAGCACACAGATGTTATTTGGTGAAAACTATTTAAATGTAATGAAAAAAAAATCATGAGTTAACTTCAGGCAGTAGCATAAACACAAATATGAATGGAAACATGGACATACAGTATATATTGATAGATGCAGACATTAAACATACACATTCACAAGCATAAACAAGCAACATATACACACACATATATATACATATACATACATATATATATACATATATACATACATATATATATATATACACACACACACACACACAATTAATAAGTTCCAGAATAACTTATTAATGATATGAAGGGGGTGTGACCCAGACCCCCTTCGCCCGTCCATTACCCAAACACAATGGAAATGGCAGCATCTGTTTGAAGGAATCATAAAAGTAGAAACTGATACTGCTTTTAGTGCAAAAATAAAAAAACCCACCTCCATCATCTCCAGTTTCTCAGGGTACGCCAAATCGCCTGGAGCTGGGTTGTAGCCTGTGATGTCACTCTGGATGTATATGTGTGTTCTGTAGACCAACCTCTCCTGCACATCCTCCAGCATCTGCTTCACTACTGCGTCAAAGGCCCCCAACTGTGAAACTGCACACAGGCCAATCTGCAGTTTAACCTTCAGTTCGATTTCAATGGAAACACGCTTCCTACATAATAAAAGTGTTATTTTCATCTTTATGTCTTTTTATTCCAGGATATAAACAAATGCCAGAGTCTTTCTTTTTGGCCTTTTCTGAATTAATATTTTCCTGCATGCAGGTGCATGTCAAATCAAGACAAACCATCAAGATTAGTGGAAAAGCAAAAGCTCACTATTGGCACTGTTGCATTTCGCTCACTCACCCCTAAACTCACTGTTACACGACACAAGGACATTTCAGTAGGACAAAAGCTGTTCTTTACCGTTGTTTTGAACATGGTCTTCGAGCATCTCGTTCTTCAGAATGCTGCAGAGCTCTGACAGGGTTTCCAGATGAATGATGTGGATGATGAGAGGCCGCAGGACATCGTACAGAGACAGACACAGATTCTCCAACAGCTCACTGTTCAGACATCATGACACAAAGACATTTATTTGGATAAAAAGCTGAGAAATCCACACCCTCTATACAAATGAATGTATTAGCCAGTAAACCAAAGCAGGTGTGATGTCCTGTGGTTTTAGGCATTACACCTCAAACAGATAAGACGATAGAGACTCTTTGTGCTAAAAAAAACCCCAGTTTTACTCACTCTAATTTAGGTGTTGGTTTGGAGAAGAAATCGTTGTAAAGCTGGTGTTCATCCTGGCAGACGTGCACCATGAAGGCGCAGCCGCTGCGAACCTGCACGGGTAGACATGATCATAATTATTCACCACGGAGCACTGAAAATGTGTTGTTTTGTTTTGGTCCACTTCAAACATAAATGCCAGGAGCACCTACTGTATCACAGCAATCATTAACAAGATGCATAACCTTTCAAGTTTCATTAAAAAAGTCAGACAGGTAGAATGCCTGTTTTGCCTTTTCATTAGATAAAACGCTGACCTTTAATTATCACATCCCCATCAGGCTAATTAGTGAAGTTTCTCAAATGCCAAACAGCATCAGGACCTAATCTGTACTGCTGCTTGATCTGATCTGTTTGAAGATGTATGTGTGAATGAAAATATTACACCACTGTTGTGTTTGAAGACACAAAAGTAAAAACAGCATAATAAAGCGCAGTATTATGTATGAGGAAACGCCGAGGGTATACTAACAACGGCGAGTCCCCACACAGCAATTCACTTGTGAACACAGCGGCATTACACTCTGGACGCCTGCTGTACAAAATCTCAGCTTGTGCTCATTTATCATGTGCACAGCTCTGAGTCTGCACCAAACAGTCCAGCAAATTTCCCGGGGGCTCTAAACTGGGCATTCCTTACAAGCTCAAATGTCATTGGAAAAATATCTAAAGGGCAACTCCTGCTTTGAACCCGTCGTGCCTCACCAGAGCACAGTGGTCTTTGCTGTTCTGATTGGTCAGGTCAGTGATGGTGGATGTGATGCTGGGGCTCAGGAGCTGCTCTCGCTGGTCCAGGTAGCACTGGTGGACCTCGTCCAGAAGCTGCTGGTACCTGCTCACATCAGCCAAAGAACAGATGAGTTAATTTCAAACAAAACAGAATAATAAAAAAGAAAACACATGCATGAGCTCCGTACAGAATGACTCACTCTGGTATCTTCTCTGTCCGCTGTTCTATCTGTTCAATTAGAGACTATACAACAACGACAAGGCAAATCATCACAGAAGGAATGGGCAATGGGAAACTGCAAGTGTATCTGTGAAATTATGTTGCAAAAATCCTGTAATTACAAACAGATACTCACTCTGACTTTTGGTGCAGCAGCTCTGAACTTGACATAATAGAGAGTAAATGCATTGTCGGCATTGGTCAAGCCCATTGGATCCTGGAAAGCAGTAAGATTTATTAAAATGTATATATAAAATATTTAATTTAATTTAATATATAAAATAATTTATATATACATATATAAATATAAATTAATATATTCATTATACATACATAATGCAAATATCATTTCCATATGTTTATACATGTATTTATACATATATGCACATTTTATATATATATTTATTTATTTACATACAATCAAATACATAGCGAGTTGGTGACTGTAGCAGGATGTGTGGGTTTTTCTTACCCTTTTTGTTAACTGGCTCGTGAGCTGCTGCATAGTGTTTACAATGTGGATCTTCATGAAGTGCATAGCTTTCGAAAGACACTGTTTAAATTTGGCCAAATAAACAGGATAGTCCTTGAAATTTGGCTGCAAACAGAGGAGCAAACAAACATCAGACAGTAATTGCGGACACGTCTCACCATCCGCCCCAGAGTCTGCATAACAAGGCGCGCGTGTGTAGTTATTCTATAGCCCATAAAGCAGAGAACTGTTATATTCTTACAAAGTGAAATTGCAAAATCTCAGCAGCACAGTGGGTATAAATTATTAAACAGGAGGCACTGAAATATATTTACAGCTTAAAAAACACTGGCACTGAAATAAAATCTACACACAGAGGCAAAATTTGGGGAGGATATGAGCAGCTTACATGTGAAGAAACATATTCAATGCAGTCATCCAACTTTGACAGCATCGGTATAAAACCTTCACTGTTTACAGACAAGGTTGACGAGTTGAGTTTCTGCAGAGAAAAAGAAGAAGAAGAAAAATCAGTTCCTTTCCTGTTGGTCTCTAAAACTGAAGCATTTGTTCAGTCACAACTGCCAAAGATTTGTTTTGTTTTTTTTTTGTCTTTTTGATATGGTTAATCATTTTTCTACGTTTGGTCGGAGCAGAGAAATGCATCTGACATCAAAATCCTTCAGTTTGACAGCTTTCTTCTCAAGAATGCAGCTGCTGATTCATCAACACAAACAGGCATACAAAAATAAATTGCTGAACAAAAACACATTTACTGTATCAGCGTGCACATTTAGATAAACGTGATAAATGATGAAGCCTAATGACAAAAAACAAAGTACAGCCTACCGTGTTGATGTGTTCTAGCTCATTAAAATATGACAGCTTCTGCTGTATGCTCTCTGCCAGGTCAACCAGCTCACTCTACGAAGAGAAACAATGAAAGAGAATTTTTCAAAGATGGCAGTTTCAAAAACTATTCACAGATTCTTCCCATATAATGTTATATTTTAGCCACATAAAACACTTGACACCAGTAAATGTCATGGATTATATTGTCTTCATCCTATGACTGTTTCACTGTGGTATTATAGGAACACTGACAGGCAATTTCCAGAGTTCAGCAGCGCTCTTAACATTTATTGAATACAAAGCCTTTAAGAAGTTGCCAATGCTTTTAAAAGGTAGTTATTAACATCAGTTAACTTCACAGTGAACTTAGAGAGAGTTCGTTAGGATGCACAGCTGCTTAAATCATCTATCAAAGTTTGGTCACTGAAAGTGATTGGAGAATTGTAGGAATAATATAGGAATCTTAGAGGTTAAAAAACACACAGATTTTCAGGTAATTAAATTATTCAATTTACAAGTGTAAATGTCTTTCCTTTTTAAAAAAACAAAACAACCAAAAATCAAAACTTTTCTCCCTCGCAAAAGCAAACAACAGCTCGATGAAAGACACTCTTGAGGGGGGCATATCATTGTGGAAGTCAACAAAGAAGACGGGACTTTGGTAATGAAAAACAGAGCAGTTTTACAGTACACAAGGTGCAAGGAAGCGGATGACGCCGAGCAGAAAGTAAAAAGCACCTGTCTAGGTCTGAAACGAGATTCCTCAAGATATATAGTACTTGTAATGGAATAATAGGAACAGAGGACAGATTCATAAATTTATACATGAATATATTTTAGTGTCTGGAGGTTGTTCACTTGTGCATAACCACAGACAGAATGTTTTTTTTCTTGTTGAGATAAACAAGGTAGTAGATAAAAAAATGTTGTTTGAAGGGAAAATGTATTAAATGATCAAAAATCTGCCATAGAATCATGATAATATATTATATTACTGTGTGTTTGTGTTACAAGCAAAACTATAAATAATTACTATAAAGAGTTACAGGGTCGAGAGTTAGGTTTATTTCATGCAATGAAATGACTCCAAAAAGGCTCAGGAAAATACCTCAATACCTAACTTCTATTGTCAGCAAACAACTCGGGAAAATACCTCAATACCTAACTTCTATTGTCAGCAAACAAGAGTCAAAAATTGAAATCAACAGTTTTAGATCTAACAAATGTTCAATGAGACAAAATTGAAATCGACAGTTTTAGATCTAACAAATGTTCAATGGTACGCTGAGTCCTCGTGTTAGATATGATATGATGTGAGAAAAGCTTTGTTGATTCCCACATCAAAATATTCACCCGCAATATAACAATATACACACACACACACACACACACACACACACACACACACACACACACACACACACAGGTACATACAGAAGGCATGTTACCTGCTCTTTCAACAGCTGTTCACAGGCTTCATGTAAAGTCCCAGTTTTATTGGAAACAAATAGGTACTGTTTCTGAAGGGAGTCCAGGTGCTCCAGGGCTGTGCTGACATCTTTCAGTATAGCATCACAATGTTCCTGGTAGCAGTTCAATTCATCTCTTGTTTTTCTTTGGGGGAAAAAAACAAACAAACAGAATGTGTTGGCCTTGATGGAGCCAAATAATGTAGCTGAGCTCACAGAGAAACAAAGTGTTAAACAATAACATCTGTAATGACCATCCCCCAGGTATGCAATTTCTAAAAATAATGTTTTTTAAAGGAAAGCAATGTTTTGCTACTTGTACTAAACCCATCATAATTCCATCACCTAAAGGCAGTAGTAACATGAATCTCAAGAGGATGAAGGACGTCGGACTATTCTCCACAGCTAAATACTAAATAAAAAATGAACCTTTTGAAAAAATGTGGTTTAGAAAAAGAAGTTTAGAAACCAACTCTGTGTGTAGACCCAATCTCTTATGCCTGATTTTATAGTAAATGTTAAAAATTCAAAGTTATCTATTGTGTCAGCTACATAACCAAAACATAATGTACTGGCACAGGTAAGATCATGGGGTCTATGACATGACTGATAAAACATTTAAGACCATAAGCACCTGTATTTTGCACTCTCATCCTGGTCCATGTTTGATTGTAACTTGGCAAACCAGGAGAAAAACTGTAACACAAACATATTATGTGGAACTTTACAACTTGCTACAAGGAAAAGGTCTCCAGTACGATATACTTAGATTCCTTAGAGATAATTTACCTGTTGTGCTGTTTCTATTCTGTCGTTTTCCATATCTAACATCTGAAAACCTTTGAGCAGGACGTCCTCTGTAGAAGCGGGTACAGTAGCTGTAAACGGAGACTTCAAGGACCGGGATGACAGGCTGCATAAGTCTTCAATAGGAAGCTGCAACAGAAAAACATGATTCACTGGATGTGACAACTAGCCTGGTTATGAAGCTAACTGTTGGAATTGGCGTGGCCGCAAACATTATAAACATGCATGCCTGCTAGTTAGGTTTAAACTTAGTGCGTGAGAAAATGTATATCTCGTGAGCTGTTACTGCAAAGTGAGTTTTTATAAAATGCAGACAGTTTAGCTGTTTACTTTATTTCACTTTGGTTTAAGAAGTACATTAGCAGCCCTGTTAGCCAGCTAGCTTCAGTTGTGTGACATCTCACCTCTGACGGCACAGGAAGCGTCTCAGCTGCGGTTCTGATATCCAGGACCGAGTCCATTTGTCTCTCTGTGAGCGGAGCCATGGGGTCGGTGCGGCGATCCCACAACGACAGTTTCTCGCGGGTTTCTTTATCCGTCAAGTCCAGCAGAGACAGATCTGTGGACGCCATCGTCGCTGCAACGACAGCTGCAACGTCAGCGACAACGTCAGCAGCAAAGTGCATGTACTTCCTGTATCGGGAGGGCGGGGCTTTTTAAGGGGGCCGACCTTCCGATAAAATAAAATAAAATAAAATAAAATACACAATAATAAAAAACACACCTAAACAGGTACCTGTATAGGTTGTTATATTTTTTTTGTGTTTGTCTTCCACTTGTCAGTGATCCAAAGCCCTCAAAACTAGTAAAGAAGTATTTCCTAAAATAATGTTAGTGACAAAGCCCTGATCTAAATCTCACAGAACATCTGTGCACTGAGACAATGGTACTTTAGTTAGAAGACCATCAAATTTGAATGTGCTTGAGGGATATATCCACGATGAACAGGCTGGGATATATTGGGAGACTTCATTTATTCAGCAAAATTGTATTCATGCAGGCTTAAATAAATCTACTTATCTTGTGAAAAACTGTTTGGGTGAATGGAAGGTTAATACAGTATGTTCCTTTTATAAGTACATTCAGTAATACATCTTTAAAAAATATTTTCACATGGAAAAACATATTTTCTCAGCAAGACTAAAAAGTTAATCATCTTAAAATAAGTTTTCTTTTGACAAATGGTTTAATTTTGTGTTGTTTTTATTCGGTCCCTCTTCTTTGCAGCTTCAGCTTGCATATTCAGGACTGGAACTACATAAATGGATTAAATTAATTTGCAGAAGCAGCTTTCAGTAAAAAAAAAAAAAACAAAAAAAAAATCTGGATGCCATAATAGGATGACACCAGGTGGTGGAGGGGGGTTAGCATCACATCCTTGTCTGTGGGGAGTCCTGTGGCGAGGTCAAACACAGTTCAGGGACCTACTTTAACTGAAAGATTCCCTGCAGATTTCAAGCCACATTACTCCAGCACAAAAAGACATGTCAGATTCGATCTTGTGCAAAGCCAGACGTAACATACTTAACTAATAGTTATATGAAAAAGTCTTTAAAAAAACAACAAAAATAATTGCATTAATTTGCCTAAAATATGCAACCATGCGCTCTTTTATGATTATGTAGATGAGTTTTGTTTTGGCTGGGAGTCTGGGTCACAGGGAATTCTCTCTGGGGTCATGTTTATTTTTCTTTTCTTTTCCATCCCTTGTTTACTTTAAAATATATATTTTTTTAAATTTAGGTGAGGATACAATTTTTGAATAATGGAAAAAAAAACAGTAAAATAGCTAAAATGTGCAATCAAATTAATTTTTTTTATTAAAACCTTGTCAAAGAGAAACCTCAGATGCATTTTTCTAACCAAAAACCTTTCAAGACAACATCCTTTTTATTGTACAAACGGTTCAGAAATACATTTTAACCTGACATCTTCGTCTCTTCAAAGTGCTGTTACACAATGTTTAAAAGGAAAAAATAGCATTTTTTTTAAAAATACAACTTGTGACTCTGCTAGTCACTTGTGCTTAAGAAATTATCATAATTCTTAACAATACAGCCATTAAAACATGAACAAAAAGATGAACTTGAAGAAAAGAATATCTGGAAATAATTGTACAATTTGTTCCTATGTTTAAAAAATTGAACCATTCCCTTAAATCCATTCAGACATTAATGTGCAAAAAAGAAAAACATTTTTTAAAAAACTTGGTAAAAATTCCTTAGATTATCCCACTAAATTCGACATACACATTATGTCCACAAGGTAAATGCATGTCATTGGGCTGCCGAGCCAACATATCAAAAAATGTGGTTACGACAGTCAGTGAAGTGCAAGTAGTTTGGGGTAAACAAAGTAAATCCAACAGTGCTGACATTTTTTTTAGTTATTAAACTCTGTCCCCTCCAAGTGGTCAGGGATGGGCAGTCCAGTGAGGATTGTCAAACATCGATTCCACACATTAAACACAGGGCAGATCGGCTGAGCAAAGGCAATGTCAAATGTATACAGGTGCTGAGAGCTGACAGCGTCGTAGAAAGACAGGGATCCGGAGTCGTAGTCCAACAAAACTCCAAGACGCCGCAGGTGGGGTGAAGGCTCAACAGTCATCTCCTTGCTGTTATGTCGTACCACCCAGGAGTTGTTGCAACGAGAGATTACCCAGGAGGCTGAGTTCTTTCCAATCCACTCGTGTTTTGGTGCAGACTTGTACGTGATCCCCACTGCAAACCTAAACCACCGATACAGTGTAGTAGATGAGACTTTGTAAATACACCAACCTTGTTCTGTGGAGTTTATTAGTTAACCTTTCTGAAGAAGAATCCACTCAGTTTGTCAGATATACTCACAACAACTTCTGTCCTCTGCATATTATTAATGGATAGATGGACGGATGGATATGTTGGATATGTCGGTTGGCTCGATGAGTGGACCGACCAACTAACCAACCAACCAACCAACCGACCAACCAACCAACCAACCAGCCGTCAGGTCCACAGTGACAGCCACAGTATTTTCATCACATCACATCAAACCTGTCAGTGTTTTGTTATTTACCATGTGCTTCCTCCTATCAGGACCTCCCAGTAATGGCGTCCACTGTCGATGTAGACGTTTCCTGTGACACCGTAGCTGCTGTGGCTGGAGAAGCGATCCTGACTGTGACTCTTCTTAGACAGACTCTCATCTCTCTCAACCGTCAGGTTATCGTGGGATATCCTCAGCTTGCGGTGAGCAGACTTTGAGTCCAATTTGAATGGCTGACCTATGAAACATTTTGACAGTGCTCATTAGTAACATGCCCTCTAATTGGTAATTAATGATGCTTTGGAGATCGTGTGGTTTGACTGCTGACCCTCACATACTGTTTGTCTTGAGTTTCCCTGGTTCACTGCTGCGGTTGCCAGCCTGGTTTATTGCTTTCACTATGAAGATGTACTTTGTGCCACACTGGAGTCCATGCACAGTGTAGTGGTTCTGCTTGATGTTTGGCACAATCATCCAACTGTCAGCAGAGTTACATAAACCTGCATCGCAGAGACAGAGTCACATCCAGGCTTAAATACAGCAGCAAACAGAGAGGGGCTACATGTGTGCATCTTTTATGCCTGATATTAAACAGTGAGACAGTTTAGTGAAGACACATGCTGGATGTTGTTTTCTAGCTGCTGTTTCTAATTGTCAACTACAACTGCCTAACCACCTATCCAACTGTGCTTGAGCACTGAGGCAGATGACAATAAATTGTTTGATCAAGCATGTTGTGACCTTGTTAGAGCAATCAATTCAAACAGCATGCTGCTTAATTCCACCCACTAATAATAACGAGCATATGCTTTGCATCTGGATGCAAATGTAGTTTTCTTGTACTTTTTTTTTTTTCACAGGGCAAAAAGAGCAGCATGTATTGTTCTTTGTTTTCCTCCAGCCTGATCAGACTCTACAACATCCTGTTTATGATACTAGAACGGAGCTAAATATCATATATAATATTCTTAGACTGTGATTCCGGCAGATAACTGCATATGGACTTACTGACGACATTAGAATGACTGGTGAAGATGGCATACTGAAGTTCATATGTGATGACGGAGAACTCGTCATCTGTCGTCCAGTGAACCGTGATGGTGTCGTACGAAGCCGTGCACAGTTCCTCACGGATTGCCGGTGGATTAGGTGCTGCAATAAAATCACAAATAGTTCCGAGACAAAGCAGAAGCCAAATGAACATTTCTTCATGCAAAGGCACTCAAAACTAGTGGTGGTAAACGGTATAAATATCTTTGTGTTTCTATTATCATTAGTGTAATTAAGCAGCTCCTCTCACTTTAAAGCTGCAGCCCTCATGCAGAGCTATATTCACACTGCACAACAGGAAGTTGGAGGCAAACAATCAAAGCCCTTAATAAGCGAAACAATAGAAATATCTTTAGCACTTTTTCAGCACATATTTATTTCTTTTTTTTCATTTTGTCTTTTCTGTAAGCTTAATTAAAACAGTTTCTATTTGAATGTATAAGCAAGTGCAGCAGTTTGTCAGATTCTCAGTCTTTAATATGACAAAAACAAGAAAAGCCTCTTGCTCAGGCATACTGAAAAGTTTCTACATATCACCTAAAGGGGGCGCACAATGACAAATACTCCTATAATTGGCAGAGTCAACAGGAAAATCTTAACTCTGCATATTTTCCAACCCAAAGGCATTAGTTGTTTTTTTTCTTCTTAACAAAGGTTTGGATTGTTCTTTTCAAAGGCTAAAGAATAGTTTGTTAATAATTCTGTAATGTAGGCCATATATGAAAATATATCTGGCCTTGTGGTGTAAAAAAAATGGAAATTGCACTATTGGTTGTTTGACTATGATTCTCTGAGATAATAACCCAAATTATCATTTGATTAGATATATGTGGACTAAATTGTTGTTTTTTTAGTTTTAGGTTATAATTATTACATTATGTTATAGTCATATACATTTTAATAAGAGGAAAAAACAATAAAACACAACAGCGGATGACATATGAGTGGATCGTTTGTGATTGACAGGAGGATCATCCAATTGGATTTTCAGACGATATGTGACAAGATATTTGTATTTATGTTGAGGCTGTGTAACCTGGCTTAGTTTGATAATGAAATGGCAACTGTAACGCTCATTACCACTTTATTCTAATTCCCTTGGGTTTATATTAATCACTACGATGTGAGTTCAACAGCAGCTTCTTACCAGTGAGGTAATCCAGGCCTTCCAGCATTTTCTTCTCTCTGGTGAAATCCAAAACAAAACTATCAAACGTGTCATTCAGGTTAATTTCTGGGATCAAGATCTGGGAGGAGGCCGTGGCCATTGACACTCTGTGAAAAAAAGACACAGGTATGAGTTTGACAGGTGTGTACAGTAAACGTACACAGTATGTATTCTGTACATGCTGTTGCCTTCGATCCGTCTCTCACCTCTCACAGGTGTTTTTAGCAGTCTGCAGAAAGCGAGTGTGGTCCGTCTCCTTCAGGGTCTGGTCAGCCTGAGTGATGAGAGACGAGGACCTCTCGATGCACTGCTTGCAGCTGGCTATCTGCTGGGCTAATTTCCTCATTCGCACAGACTGCACAGGAAGTGTTGATAAATGAAAAGCTCGGTAAATAACATAATGGCTCACCGTATGACGCACCAACCTTCCAGATGGTAGATTGGATTTTACCTCGCCAATTACAAAATGCTCCCGAGGAGAAAAAACAATCAGATTTTTACCTATGACAATGTGATTTTTCAGATGTGTAATAGTATTGTAAAAGCTTTACTGAAATTACTGGTGAATATATGAAACATCCCTCACATTACTGTCACCAGACCTGACCCCCTCTGTGTATTTCTGGTTAAAAGCAATCCAACAAATTGACACAAAGCACAGGGTGAAGAAGGAAAGAGTTCTCCTCTGGAAACTGTCATCTCAGGAAACAGAACTGATCTTTCTCTGACACTGAAGGCAGCGTAGAATGCTGCTGCTGCTCTTAAATGCATTTCAACCAGAGAAAGAGTAAGGCAGAGAATTATAGGTGCTGGAGGCAGACACATTCCAGAGCTGTGAAATCAAACTAAACATAACACAAAGCAGTAGAAGGTAAAATTTAGGCAACGTTGACAACAGACCAGCTACAAACATCGTGTTAACTTAAAGCTGACATTTGGTAAAATATATCTGAATCCTTTAAATTGGAATGAAAAACCTTGAAAAGACCATCAGTGTTTACACTGAGCAACTGTTTGTTAAACAAAGCAATTTAGAAATCGATGCCTGCAGCACACTTCAGAAAATTTTGGACAGAAGCCAGTTTGCCGTTGGGTCCAATCTCTTTTTCTTTTAATTGAATTTTTTAATTAATTGCAAACTGTGTGTTTTTTTAGTTGTTGCAGTTTTGCCAGAGGATTTTTTTTTCTCCCATTCTCGCTGCGCTGTCAACAGATGGGAGGACATTTTTCCAGCAGCCCGGTGTCTCAGTTTGAACATCATGAGCACCTGCGTTAAAACTGTGCTGCATTTTAAGACCTCAGCATTGTAGTTAACATTTTTAAATCTACCCTCTCACCATGACATTTTGCTGGTTGCACTCACAGGGAATTTTCACTTCTTTAACAGTCTATAAAACCGTTTGCTGGACCGAAAATCATCAGTCAGCTTGAGAAAGACTGACTGAAATAAACTCATGACAAATGTTCCCAGTGGAGCCGTCAACATGAATGCATTCATTTGAGGAATTAATCAGATTAAAATTTTAAACAGATTTTAACGTGATTAATCACGATTAATTGTGATTAAGCTACAGTTACACCGTGATCGATCGGATCAAAAATGTTATTGTTTGACTCACAGAAACGTTTCCGTGGTTTCTTCCCTCTTCTCACACTACTGCATTCACTTTGGTATAAAATATTCACCGACCAAATCTGTCTTTGTTTAGAGCCTAATCTGAGGTCACAGACGGCAGTTGTTGAATTCTACTGTCAGGTCACTGACGTCGAGACTGCAGATTGATGCCGAAGTTAATGAACTGCCTTCCATATTGCCACTTATAAAGGTCCGCTAATGTTTCCTTTATTAGCTACTGGCCGTTGAGTGAGTCTGTGGCTTCAAAATGACACTAATGTGCAACAGTGTGTTTTATGAACCCACAATTTGCAGGATTGATGTCGCCGATGCTGTGAAAAGTTACACTCCCTCGGTCCGAGGTGTAACATCGTGAAGATAAAAGGTTTTTACAGTAGTGCAATTATTTATCACTGCTG